CTCCTAGTTTTCCCAATTTAGTAAGTGCTATGTTGCCTCTGCCTCTTGTGTAAGTGAACTCAGTGGCAACGGCCCAATAGGGACCATCCTAGTGGCCCCGCACCAGCCTTGCATTCAGCTGTGACCATGTGATGGGACCTTGCCAGAAGAATGTAAATGGATATAAAGTATGACTCTTCCAGGCTGGGACTTTTAAGAAGTTAAAAAGGTTTCTCCTCTCTCCACTTCCACCAGTTGGAAGTAGAGTATGTTAAGGCCATAAAGAGCAAAATCAGAAGATGGAAGGAATTTGGGTCCTTCACTCACCAGGAGGAGAGCTGCCAGCAACCCAAAACATTTACATAAGAAAGAAAGAAATGACTACTGTGTCAAGAGATTGATTTTGGGGGCTTTGCTTGTTATGGCATGTAATGTAACAACACACCATTTTTCCATCGGTATTATTATAAAAATAAAGAAATCTAGACAGCATGAAAGGTATTTACCTGCAAAATTTACTAAATACCAAAGCCACCCATAAAAGTCACATTTTATGTAAATTTGCTTTAATCTGAATTCTTCCAGACTTGCCCACTAAGCTAGGGAGTCTGTTAGCATGAGAAAACTGTTCAGCGCTCCACAGCATGCAAACCCTATGTCCTCCAGGTTAATTTTAAAGAAAGGGATGTTTTCAGAGGTTGTGTTGTTTTTTCCTTTCCCTGTGAAATGTCTTTTTTTATTTTTTATTTTTTGTATTTTCAAATCTTATTCCAAACTAATTTCCATAGTCCAAAGAGAAAAATTTCTCAATTTTCCCCCCAAGACAGAGCACCATAATTCTACTTTATACTGTCAGCAAAGTTGATTTCTTATTATATGCAAGTTACACACACATACATAGATCCCTCTTTGTTTTACATTCCAAACAGCCCAAACGTGTTTTGAAAAATACAACTCTTCCTGAGGAAGAGGAGCCTTCCTTCACAGACTGTTAGGGCTGCCACATCCATATACCACAGCATGGAAAGCATATTTGCATATCAACAAGCCAGGACTCTGGATCCTGAGGTTCTGCCTTTCATTCTGCAGCTCCCTCGCTGTGAACTGTCAGGTGCATTACTGAATGCCCATGCCAAGACTGTAAGGGTCTGAATAATGACTGGAATAATCCTGCCTTCCTCATCAGGGGGCTCCAAAGCTCAGTCAATGTTTACAGGATGCTTCCTGGTGCCTATTTAGCATGCTGCAGGCCAGGAAGGCAGAAAGCACCATCAGCTGACAACAACAAAAAATATATGTAAGCAGTGATGGGCCCAGTCCTACAAAAAAAAAAAAAAAAAGGTACTGGTTGCTTTATCTTTTAATCTAATATCCTTAAGAGATTGATTCAAAACTTTAGTTAAATAAGGAAATGCCAAAATTCAACTGGTTTGTGTGCATGGTGAGATTATGGGCTTTTTTCTTTACAGTGCTGTCTTTCTTTGAAATTTTCCACATTGAACACATTTATCATTAAAAATAGAAAAATGTAAATATTTATACTGTAAACGACTGTTTAAATAAGAGAGTGGAAGGCTAACTATGACAGACGGACCTGTTAGTGCCAATTTTCCCCTTCCCTCTAGTCAGTTGCATTCTACATCTGCATCCGTGCCAAGGTGTCAAGGTGGGCGGAACATGCTTCCATTCCTTGACCCTGGGCTTGACCATATGACTTGCTTTGGCCAATAGAAAATTAGCAGCTATGATGCCAGCCTGAAATATGCCTATGCAAGGGGACGGACACTCTCATGCAGGAGAACATGATGTCCAAGGAAATCAGACATGGAGCAGAGCTGAACCCAAACTGCAATCTAGAATCAATCCCAGCTAAATTACCCCATACCCAGCTTACCTGCAGCCCCCTGAGCAAAAAACACTTACTGATGTCCACCACTGAAATGCTGTGGTTATACAGCATCCATGTCACCAACTGATGCACTAACAAGTGCCACACACACACACACATACACACAAAAAAAAAAAATCAGGGAGAAAAGTGTGTCATGGACTGATTTGCGGGTTGGAAAAAGGCCACAGCATTCTCCATATGCCCGTTTATAACGGGAACCCAGTCAACCATCATCTCAGTTTGAGAAAACACCTTAGCAGGCAGAGGTTGTTTCCCTTTCTCTTATGAAATACAAAATTATTTCACTACAATTATAGTCAGCCCTATGAAGCAAGCGCTACTATGTGACCATTCAATAATGGGATTTCACATTAAAAAAAATAAATAAATATATATATATATATATATATATATATATATATATACACATACAGTGAGGCTCTTTCCATGTTAAAACATATTATTTTACAACATGGCTTTAATTGTTTACAATTATTTTCCATTTCATGTGTATACCATATTATGGCTAACCAATATTCTTTTGCTAGTTATTTAGATGATATGCATTTTTTATTATTATAAACAGTGCTGCTCAAAATATAACTAGAGTCCATTTTTTTTTTTGCACATATTCATGACTATTTTCCTGGGAATGAAATCTGAGGATTGATTTGCTGGGTTAACAGATGTATAAATGTTAAAGTTTTTAATGTTGCCTAGTTTTAATTTAATTTTGCAAATAAGGAACTAGGAGACCTACAGATTGAGTCAGCCCCAGATTGCAACTGAGCAAACATTTTCCCACCTAGGAATCACTCAAATTAATCCTGCTGGAATTTACTGAAAACCTCAGGAGTGTTTACTGTGCAGGAACAGAGTGATGGTTACAAGCATGGACACCAGAGCCACAATGCCTGGATTCAACTCTTGATCTTGTGCAATTTACTCAACTGGTTTGCGCCTCGATGTTCTCATCTCTAAAAGAGGCATAGGAGTGCCTCCCTCATGAATGCACAGAAATATAGTGAGGATTAAATAAATCAATAAATGCAACCTCCTAAAAACAGCGCCTTCTATACAGTCAATTCTTAATGTTAGCTATAATGGTATTAGGGATAGTAGATGAAAAGATTGCAGATTTTCCTCTCAGAGAGTTAAGCTTTTAAGAAAACTTATCATAACTTAGGATAACTAGGTCGCAAATGTTCAAACTGTAACCTAGTCCTTCACAAAGTCTTTGTTCTAAGGAACCAGTAGAAAACTGCCAAAGAGAAGATCCTTCGATTAAAACAAAATTAGGCAATAGGAAGATGGCTGGCCTTTAAGTAACAGAATATATATCAGGGACATTTTTTTTATGGCAAAATCAGTTTGACTTAAGTGAGCAATAGGGTACGTCCTTAGGTTAAGGTTTTATGTGATTATTAATAGTTGCCTAAAACAAGTGGAAACTGTGTTTCTTAAGGATCAGAGACAACGCTTCCTTTCCCCTGCTTCCTCTCCTGACACTAGCATGTGCCTGACTCCAGGGAGAAACTCAGTGGGTAAGTTTCTGAGCTTACTGATGTTCACAAGCCCAAGTTTTCTAGCAACTGCAAATACGCCAAATTCAATTATTTTTACCCAGAATGCTAGTATCCACCTATCCTGGGGCTAAATGCTTTGCATACATTATTCCATTAATGTATTGATGGCCAATTAAGAATGTTTTCTTTATATTCCAATAAGACTTCCAAACAACTGTTTTGAAAAACAGGCTGATGTCCAAGGTTTTTAAGTTCTTCCAAATACTATTGAATTTTTTTTTTATCTGACCAAAGATTTAATTACCTAAAATAATTATATAGCAGGCTAAATTACCTAAGTATGGAATTTCTAGAGCTGCTGAGGTTATGAAATGAGAATCAAGTCCAGCTCTCTCCCCCCACCCAAAGTTAAAGATAAATTCATGTTTCAGGCCATATATCTGCATCAAGAGCTGTACCCCCGCGTTCTCTTAAAGCTTTCAATAAACTGCTTTAGCAAAAATTGGAAAGAACCATTCCTGCCCCTCCTATTGATAACAAAAAAAGTTTAAGGAAAGTAAGTAAATTTCTTAAGTGAAATTAATAAGCATGGGCATGATAGAGCCTTTTACCTTTTAAGATTTAATTTCCCACCCATAAAATAAGGGTTAGACCAAAGAATCTTTAGTATCTAACCTTTAGTGATTTAAATAACATGAAATTTACATGATGAGTTCATTATTAAAAGTCCAAGTTATATTAATATGGCTATCTTTCAAGTCAGTAAAAGTGTCCTGTGGGTTTTCTGGATTTGAAAATTTTAATTAATTTAATTTTAACATGATTGAAAAACAGGTGAAAGATTGGAAAAGATACTTAACAAAAGAAGATATATGAAGGTCCAATAAGCATATGGAAATATGTTTATTTGACAACATTTAGTTGTCAAGGGAATATAAATTAAGACCACAATGTGATATGACTACCCATTAAAATTCAAAAAGACTGGCCACCCCACAAGTTGGCAAGGGTGCCAAGCAATTAGGGCACTTGCCTGTTGTCGGTGGGGATGTAAAATGTCACAGTTTTGGACGCAGTTTGGCAGTTCCTTATACAGTTCAACATACACCACTGACATTCACAACATGGATGAATCTTAAAAACATTATACTGAGCCCACGAAGCCTGGGACAAAAAAGCACAGACTATGTGAGTCCATCAATATGAAATTCTTAAGATATTGTAAATCTAATCTATAGAGACAAAACGCAAAGCTATGGTTGCCTGGGGTCAAGGGTTGGAGGGTGGGGGAAGGGAATGACTAGGAAGGGACACAGATAATATTTCTTGTCTGGATTTTGGTGGTAGTCTGGCATATAAATTCACCAGAATCGACCCACATATACAGTGAAAATGAGTATATATTATTGTATGTAAATTATATTTCAGTAAAGCTTATTAATATGATCCTCAATTTAACTGCTTTCTGGTTTGGACTAGATTTTACCAAATGGTCTGCAGAGAGGCAGGCCCATTCTTAAGCAGGCTGCTGTTTGCACCTGGAACTCCATGGGCACCACCATTCTGGACCTTCCAGGGTATAAACAAAATCACTGCTGACTCACCTGTCAGCGCACCTCCCAGGCTCCCCCGCCGCAGCTGCCGTCCGTCTTCGCTCAACTGGCTTTTAAACTTCAGGGACTTCCCAGGGCCCGAAGCCAAGTCTGGGTTGCTGCACTTCCGACATGGCATGGGTGGTGGGGACAATATGTGGTCAAGCTGCAGAGAGAAGGACAGTGCATCACTCGCTGGGGACGCTCCCAACACAAGCAGAATGAGAGACCAGCCAGGCACACCTTCCTCTTGAAATCCCTTTTCCTTCTCTAAATCCCTCTTTCCTGGCCCTGTTTTTAATTTAGCCAGTGGAGAGCATTTAGGATTTCACTATGTGTCTTCCATCTGACAGAGTCTGGCTGGCTCAAAACCTTAATAGCAAGGCTTTTCAAGCAGGAGGTCAGAAAGTGTTAGTGCAGCGATTCTCAACCTTCTCCAACTCATGACACATACACTAATTACTAAATTTCTGTGGCACATCAAAAATATATTTTATTTTTTGCCGATCTGATAAAAAAAAAGTATAATTTTGATTCATTCACACCAGACAGTTATTGTTGTGTTGGCTGCTGTGATTTCTAAGGGGAAAGAGGTCCATGCCCCTGACTAAATAGGCAGGTATTGCATATTTTAAAAAATCTTGCAGTACACCAGTATGCCACGGTGCACTGGTGCACTGATTGAAAATCACTGCATTAGTGGGTCATGAAAGCAAGTTTAGTAGATTGTGATCAGTATTTTTTAACACAATAGAACAGAAATTATCAAAATCCAGTGAAGGAAGGGAAAGTTTTGTTTCATGATATTTTTCTTAAGTAACACATGTATATGTGTGTGTCCTGAGTCAGTATGTAAAATATGTATCTTTCTGTGGGCCTTGATCCACCCCTCCCCCCCCACCAAAATAAAGAATATTGCTCAACAGAGAATCAATAGATTACTTATTTCGTTGTTCACACACACACACACACACACACACAAAAAAAAAAAAAAAAAAAAAAAATCCGCAAGCTTTTGATGCTCATAGACATAGGGGAGGGAAATTTCTAGCACCACAGCCCATAATGGAAATCAATACGTCCCTATATCACTTTATTGTTTTTAAAAGAAAACCTGTCACAAGAATCAGAGAAACCAAAGTCCCTTCAAGAGACAGCTTTCTACAAAAGAGTCCCCTGTGTCACTTACTTCAAGATCTGTTCCGCTTTTATAAGAAAACCTTCCATAGCTGTATAGGGCCATATCTCCTTAAATGATCACTTTCAAGTAAGCATATGTGTGTGTATGTATATATATATATACAGTTACTTAGGACAGAAATATTCATGTGCATATACTATATCCAGATAGTTATTAAGAAACTTAAAGGAAGTTTAAATAAGATATTTATGGCCCTACAGAAAAGGGCCAACTTGGTAGAAATTTAAAGATAGAAAAGAACTGTGTAACAGCAATCAAGGCCAGGCATTTTGGTGGATGCTTGATTGTGATGTGTTTTGTTTTCATGATAGAGATAGTCATCTGGTTACAACTGTGTGCTTTGTTTTAGATTTATATCATCATGGATATATTTACTGGAGGAATAAATTCAGGAATAAAGTCATCATTTGCCTGTCTATGCACCGCAGCACATTCAAACCCATGGCACACAAAGAAATTTGACCCTGCCTATGAGATGATTGAGATGGAAGCTAGTTGAGATGGAAGAGGCTGTATTGGAACAGCTATTACCATATGTCAACTCTCCCTCAAGCTCTACTGGAACCACTGGATTTCAAACACTGTCAGTAAGTACAATCTCATTGCAAGTCAATATTTTACTGTATGTCATTGCCACTTGGCATTTTATTGAGAGGTATCCAGAAAGCTAACAGTGTAGCCACTTGAGGATCAAGCCATATCAGGGCATAGGGATTCCAGATCGCACTTTTGGAAGATACTGGTTGAGGCTGCTGTTCACTGCATGAAGTGTCTTACAAGGAGGAATTTCTATCTACGCATTTTTGCCCCAAAGCCCCCTGGACAATCAATTGTAACAAGGAAACTCTGGACAGTGATATCAGCTGCTAGAAAAAGTAGAGCCCAGTCAGTGGTCCAGACATAGCAGGACATCACACAATGCAAAGGTTCCATTGGCTTCATTTATGTCCTTACTACCCCCCCCCTTTTTTTAACTACCATTTCTTTAACTTCAGAAGAAATTTTGCAACAATAGAAAAGTCACAAGAGTAATACAATGAACACCCTTATTCCTTTTACCGAAGGTGAATTGTTAAGTTTTCCCATATTGATTTTGCTCTCTCATTCTTTTTCTGTCCCTGTCCCCAGCACACAGTTAGATGCAGACATTGTAGATCTTCATCCCTAAATACTTAATCGTGCCTCTTCTAAGAACAAGGATGTGCTCTTAAATGCTCCCTCCCTATAGTATGAACTCTTAAAAGGTGCCTAAAATTTTTTTTATTGAGGTAAAGGATAAATAGTAGGAGAAATATAAGATTATATCAGATACACTTAATATTAAAAATGCGCTTACATTTAGAAAGAAAACTTGCAGCCACAAGGTGGCAATGTGCTATAGACATTCAGCAAAATATTCCATAATAGCTACTGGCCCTGCAAATGCACCAAGAACCCCTCAGAGCAATCAAGCACGTTAAGGTGCATTCTATTTGGTTATTCTCTCTTAATTACTAGTAGTAGCGGCATAAAATACACTTATTTATTGTTTAAGGTTCATCAACTTCTGTCACTTATTTTTCACCTGATGTTAAAATTTTCATCTTGCAATGAATGGCTCTAAGGAAGATTATTATATCACAAATTAACAGAGGTGGAAAATGAGCAGGGGGGTGGGGGGTGGGAAGATAATTCCTCAATAGGAATTATGAGCCTTTCTTACATATTTCCCCTAAAAAAAAGCCATAAAAATATGAAACTCATACAGAAAGAAGAGAAAGATATCAAGGAGAAAAAGTAGAAAAATAAAAAAGAAAGTGTTTGCTCACATATAACTTGCCACAAACTATTAATAATAAAAGCGTTTTTCACTAAATCACAACCCCAAGAGTGGAATAGAGTTTTAAATCTGGAAAAACTGAGGCAGTGACCTGTGCGGGCTGCCAATGTTCCAAACACAATGCAAGTAGAAAAAGCTATAAATATAGTGCTATGTTCCAGGATCCACTTCCTTTTTCACATCCAATCCTGCTCCCAACAGGGCTCTCTCTCTAAATAGATCATTTTTCCAAATTCGCCGTGTTGTCACCGGCTCTGCTTTTCTTTCTACAATTAGTCAAAGCTTCTCAAAATGGTGCACTGCAGTCCTGCAATTTATTTTTCATTTTTTGTCCTGATTCAAACACTCAGGATCCCTTTAAAAGGTTCCATCACACCCTAGAGCTTTTAATAGACATCAAACCTATCACTTTACACACTGCCCTTTGAATGATATCAGTTTAATCTTTTTCAACTTTTCCAAAGTCTTCATACTACAAGGAGCTCAACTAAAGACAGAGGTTGTCTTTGAACTCTCACTGATGTTCAAGGACATCCAAGCCTGAGATGGTCATTCTTGCTTCAAACACTTCTAATGTCCCGCACTAAACAGACAGTGGACTCCAAGGAGCCAGACAGACTCCTTGGCTTTGAGAGTCACAGAGTATCCTGGGTTGACATGCATTCTCCAGAAATGGGTCCTTACCTCACTCACCAATCGCAAATATTGCTTTGTGGTGTGCTAGATTTGCTTATAACTTCCTATGTCAATTTCCTGTAGTTCCACGAGCCACAAAACCACTGGAAGAGCCATATTAATAAATTAGAAGTCAGAGAGATAGGAACCTAACATATCACTTACATGTGAGTATTACACAACTGCTCTTGCTAGTCATTTATCACAGGAAACATAGAAGCATCTTAGAGAACAAAAGGTGCTCAGCTACTCTAAGTCTAATGCAGGTTTGGGGGGAGGTTTCTAAAAGTATCTGTCCTATAGAAACAATAATCACCAAAATTCAATGTCTACAGTTTTCTACATTTATCATCTCCACCCACTGCCTTCTGTTTTACAAAGTATGAGGCTAGGGGGAAAAAACACACAGACAGAATTCACCGCCATGTTAAATGAAAAGCAAAGGTACACGGTTCACAAAACTAGACGTTATTTTTGTTGAGTGTCTCTGCAATCACCACCACCACCATCTCCAAACACGGACCAGGGGTTTCTTATTCTATGGCTATTCCCTGGTAAAAAAACATATAGTAATTTTCTTTTTAAAAGTCATATAGTAATTTTCAGTGACTATTGACCCTGCAGCCTTCTTTTTTTTTTTTTTTTAAATATATTTTATTGATTTTTCACAGAGAGGAAGAGAGAGGGATAGAGAGTCAGAAACATCGATGAGAGAGAATCATCGATCAGCTGCCTCTTGCACACCCCCTACTGGGGATGTGCCCGCAACCAAGGTACATGCCCTTGACCGGAATCGAACCCGGGACCTTTTAGTCCGCAGGCCGACGCTCTATCCACTGAGCCAAACCGGTCCTGACCCTGCAGCCTTCTTAACTGACAACTTCTCCCACCTCATCTCCAGACTCAGTCATGCCCAAGTACATGAGTTCTCTAATTTATAGTTTCTAAATATTAACAACATTGATATAAACATAAACATATTTTAATTAATTTTTTTTCAAAATGTCAGTTTGCATTCAGTATTATTTTGAATTAGTTTCAGGGGTATAGCATAGTGGTTAGACAATCATATACTTTACAAAGGGATCCCGTTGATATTTCCAGTACCCAGGTGACACCATACATAGTTGTTACAAAATTATTGACTATATTTCCTAGGCTGTACTTTACATCCCTGTGACTGTTCTGTAACTACCAATTTGTACTTCTCAATCCCTCACCTTTTTTACCCAGTCCCCCAACCGCCCTTCCTTTCCTCCCCTCTAACAAAGTTTTCCAGTTTCAATAAATGGGAGCTCCTTTTTTCCAGCTACACCCATCATAAACCTTACAGTTTTTGTAAACTTCTCTTCTTACTCCATATCCAATCAGCAAATCCTCTAACTCAACCTCCAAAATATATCCAGAATACAATCACTTCGCAATCTCTATTGCTACCACTCTGTCCTTGCCATCAGGATATCTCTCTTGC